TTTTCTCCTTGACCTCAAAGCTCTGGAATTTAGCTATAATATTCCTGGGAGTTTTCATTTTGGGATCTCATTGTCACAGGAATTGTCACGGGGCTGCGCCCTGCCTATTGGAGTCCTGGCTTCTTAAGCAGGAAGCTGAGGGTCACAGTCTGTTGTGTGAAAGCAAGGAAGTCTTAACTGACCTCTCCTCTGTGCACACGCAGCAATCATGGCTGGTTCGGCTCTCCTCGGAATGGCTAAGCGTTCCTGTGCACATCCTGTGCACGTCCCTGCCACGAGGCCTGCATGCAATGATGGGATCTACTGACTGGCTGACGGGCTCTGACCACACGATCCCAAGGTGCCTTGAGAGCTATGTAGGCCACACCCAGCTAACAATAAACAGGAGCTTCTGCCATCTTGATGTCTCCTGCCTCATCCATGCGTCTCCGGGTCACTGAGCACTGAGCTGGTCTCACGCTCACCACTGCAGCGGCTGAGACATCTCTTTCAGTTGGTAATCTATGCATTCTTTCTATTTTTGTTTTAGCCTCTGGTTCTAGGATATTGAGGCAGTTTGCCTTTATCATTTCTCGTAATATGATGTCCAAGCTCTTTCTTTGATCATGGCTTTCAGGTAGTCCAATAATTCTTAAATTATCTCCCCTCGATCTATTTTTGAAGCCAATTGTTTTTCCAATGAGATATTTCATATTTTCTTCTATTTTTTTCCCATTCTTTTGACTTTGATTGTTTCTTGGTGTCTCATGGAGTCATTAGCTTCCACTTGCCCAATTCTGATTTTTAAGGAACTTTTGCTTCAGTGACCTTTTATACCTCTTTTTCCGTTTGGCCGATTACATTTTTTAAGGCGCTGTTTTCTTCAGTGTTGTCTTTTCATAGTTTTCTTCCCTCACCCTCACTTCTTTACCTAACTTTTCCTCTATCACTCCTATTTGATCTTGAAAATTATTTTTTAGCTCTTCCAGAAATTGTGTTGGGCGTCTGTGCAATTCATTTGTTTTTGAGGTTGCTTGTAGCTGTTTTGACTTCATTGTCTTCTAGGTTTGTCTTGCTGTTTCCTGTTACCATAGTAGCTTTTTATCGTCAGGTTCTCTGTTGTTTGCTCATTTTTCCAGTCTATTTCTTGACTTTGAATTAAAGTTAAAGTTGGGTTCTGTTCCTGACGTGGGATGGGGGAGGGACACCATCCCCAGTGTAAGCTTTTTTTGCACTGTTTTCAGAGAAAGTTCTGGGTTTTGGAAGGTTTTGGCATTTCTGAGGTGGTGTGATCTGGGAAGGGGTGTGTTCACTGTTCTCCTGATCTGTGCTCTGGTCCTTACCCAGGAAAGGCCCCGTATCCCTTGGGACTAGAAGTGATATTGCTCCTTGGGATTCCTACTCCTTCTTGACTACAAAGTCTTCTTCTCTGCCCTTGAACTGTGACCCAGAGGTGGGTATAGGCAATGGGGTTACCAGTGTCTGGGCCTGCATCCAGTGCTAGCACAGGGGTCCCCTGTAATGTCCCCTTGCCATCTCTGGCTTGAAAGCTCCCAAAGCTGCTGACGCTTCTGTTAACACCACTTCGTCCACCTCTAGTGTTGCCCCCCGTGCATGCCCCGTGTCAGCCCACCCCTTCGTGACAGATTCTCCTCTCAACCTCCTACATTGTCTTGGACTGAAGGAATGACTTTTTCTGGCTCTGCTGCTCTAGAATTTGATTTAAGGTGTTATTTTAAAGTTGTTTGGAGGGGAATGTTGGGAGAGTTTGGCTGCGTGCTGCTTCTACTCTGCCATCTTGGAAGAACCAATGACTTCTTAAAGGTCAAATACAATAGGCTTTTCTCAATTGTCATCCTTTACTTCTTCAGTATGACTTTTTACCCCCTCCTCTCTGGGTTTTCATGACATCATTCTCAGTTCTCCTCCTCCCTACCTGAAAATTCCTTCTGGGTCTCCTTTGCAGATGCATGTTCAGCTCAAGCCTACTTAGTAGGGTGGACATGAAGGCTCCCTTCTCTTTTTTCTACATACACTCTGTGTGTGACCTCATCAGCCCCCATGGGTTCATTTATCATCTCCATGTGGATGATCCCAGATCTGTATATTCAGTTTTGACCTCTCTACTGAGCTGAAGACCCACATCAGTAGCTGCCCATCATATCATTCAAATGAGATGCCCCATCAGCATCTCAAATTCACTAAGTCCAAAGCAGAATCCATTACTTTCCTCCTAAACCCACCTCTCTCCTGAATTTCTCTATTGCTGTTGATGGCATCAAAGGTCTGATCACATCCATCTCTTCCCTGTTCCCTCCAGGATCAAATAGAAAATCTTCGTTTAGCCTTCAAAGTTGTTCGTTCCCTCTTTCCCACCTTTCCAGCCTTTCCAACCTTGGTGCACTTTCCTTTCCTCCAAGTCCCCTACTGGCCAGTGTCCTGCTCCACCTTCTGACTCCGTCCTTTTCACTGGCCATTCCTATGCCTGGAAAGCTCTCCCCTCTCTCATGGCCACCTCCTGACTTCAGGACCCAGCTCAAATCCTGCCTTCTGCATGGACCTTTCCTGGTTTTCCCCACACTCCCCCGGGCTTTCCCTCTGAGATAACCTCCAACTGGTCCTGAATCTATCCTGCATGCACAAGGTTGTTTGCGTGCCCTCCTTCCCTGACGTGAGCTCCTTTTAGGCGGGGAATGTTTTTGCCTTTCTTTGTGGGCTCAGTACAGTGCCTGGCACACAGTAAGCACTTGATAAATGCCCAGCCAAGTTTGCCACCTTGGTGCCATCCTCAAATCCCCTCACCCCATATATCTGGGCAGATGACAGACTTCTCTACACTCGGGCCCTCACCACCCCTCACCAGGACTCCTCCATCAGCCAATCTGATCCCCGGCCTCTGCTCCACCCTTCCCAGAGGGTTGCTGCAGCGACTTGCCTTCAGCTCAGATCTGTCGTGCCCCCGCCCCAGGATCCCCACACCGTGGCCGCTTCTTGACTTTACTCTCCTCTCTGCACGCTGGCCCTGAGATTCTGCTCAGGCCCCACCTTCAGAAGCAGAGGCTCTGCTTGGGGCCCTCCCCACTAAGGCTACCTCGTCCCCTCCTCACACATTACTGTAAACACACATGAGGTCTCCCTTGTAAGAATGTGTCCCCCCCAGGGCAGGGCTTCTTTATACCAATACTAGAACCTAGAATTCTAGAGCAGGACAAGCCCCCCACATGATGAATCACAACTCTGCTGAACCCCCAGTGGCTGTGGACACTCAGCCCGGGGTTCAGTCAGCCACCTCAACCTCCTCTTAAGGAATTTTGCCCCACCTAAATCAAGGCAGAGACAGGCACTGCCTGTTTACCGAGCAAAGAACTACCTAAGATAGGACGGCGGTTTCAACACAGTGTGAAATAATGTTCTACAAAGATCCATCTGCACATGACAGAAATCTGACGGAACACCATTTATGTGCCGAACACCAAGATGTTACTTTATTAGTTGGATTTTTTTCCATTTCTGTCACACGTCTGTGAATGCTTACACAATGAAAAAATTCAGACGGCTGGAAGCAACTGACCAGATCAGCTGGTATTCCTGTACCCTCTTAACACATCGCAATTCTTACTTGGTGGGGATATCCTGAATTCAAATCCGTTTTGCTAAATCTGTTCATTTTCACGGCTATCCTTAAAATTCTGTGTCAAGATTGTCACATCTTTAAATACAGATAGAATTGTTAGAGGTACATAATTATATATACACACATACAGAAAAATACAAGACTAATTGTTTTCACACAATATTTAATTTATACACTACTGTAACTCTTATGCAACTTTTAAAGACAGGTTAAGGGGTACAAGAAACTGTTTAGAGCAAGTACATAGTTTGGTCCAATATTATCTTAATGTAATGGTTATTCTCTCCCTCCCTTTTATGGGACAACATACCAGGACAGACGACACATGCACAGTCATTCACTTATGAACAAATGGATAAAAGACAAGACTCAGATGGACATCTGAACGCCCAAAGGTTCCACCAACCATCCACGACTAAGAAGGCTGTCACACAGCTCTGCAGCATAAATGGTCAACACTGCTGTTTCTAAAGTGAGCACCATATATATATAATATATATATATTTATATACACATCTATATATATACATCTGAATATAAAAACTGTTGGAAACCAAATACATAGGGGTTAGTTAAAAGGTGCCATTCCAAGGCTGTACATAATCACAGGAAAACAGTATTTACAATACTTGGAAAAGACAGCTGCAACAAAGAGTTTATTGCCAATGCCCTTTATGAGTAAGCGTCTCTCGCGCTCACACCTCGGTGAGCCCCACAACTTCATTTCTGGCCCTTGAGAAGATCCCTGCTCAAAAGTTTCAAACACACACGTTCTCTGCCTTCACCCACACATCTATTCTCACAGCTTTTCGATGCAGAAACATCACATTGAATGAGCGTGGCTGCTCTAAGAGCTAGTCTAGGTCTAGAAAGAAGAGTAGGTATTTTCAGCCTTGTCTGCTTGGCTGAGTAAAGAGACTGCCCAATTAAGGAGCAGAGTCGAATCTACGAATTCACAACTAGTAGAATCGGGGGGGCTACAGCAACCAGGACCCCAGGTCAAAATCACTGCCCCCACCACGGAATGGGCTGGGTCACACCTTGTCTCCAACGCCACAATCTTTGTTTCTAAGAGCCAGCACACAGCACACAAAGAGGTCACTCCTACCCTTTCCAAAGACAAGAACCTACAGCATACCACGTCCTATAGAACAAAAATGCCATCAGGAGTGGTCTCCATACAAGAAGAGTCAAAAGCAAGAAGAACTTTACTATCATTACAGCAAGGAGATGGGATTGAAATGGGAAAGCTTCCCACAAAGAAAAATATGAAGAGAGATTTTTTTTTCTCCTCTCTTTATCTTGGGGTGTGTGTGTCCATATCTGTATGTAAGTGTGTGTGTATGCGTGTATATATATATATATATGTGTGTGTGTACGTGTGTGCATGTATATGTGTGTGTATATATATATACATATACATACATACATGTATGTGTGTGTGTGTGTATATACTCACACACACGCCACGTTGGTTTATATGTCCCAACCACCCAATTTTTGTGGTGGACTAAATTCAAGAACATGGAGGAATAGAAGAAACAGAAGAGAAGACAGTACTATTTTCAAACTCCTGCAAAGAGCCAAAGCGGGATTTAAAAAAATATATTTCTGTCCTAATGTTCCAACATAAATGTGTACCCCTGTTTAAACCTTTCATTTCTTGCTGACCGGCATTCTATGGGCCTACTGACCACACGTTATCTACATCATCTTAAGGGAAATCCTGGGAGAGGCTCAAATTCACACAATTTCTGGATTTCTGTTCTGCCGGGGACCAATCTCTACCTGTAGTTAAGATTTCATCGATTATCTTCATCATATTAAAAAATAAGATTGTCTGCCTATAATAGTAACACACGACTAGGGGGTGGGGGGGAGCTGCCTTGTCAGTCTGGGGACTCAGCATCAGCTACTGTGAACCCAAGGTCATCTTTTCGGCTTCAGAGTCCCGCCTGGATGCAGGCCAAAGCTTAAGACAACGGGTGTGGGTGGGTCTCCCTCTACAACTGGAAGGCCACCACCAGGCCTCCGGAGCTCTCATCCCTCCAAGTTCTCAGCATCCCAACATTATTGCTTTGGTTCTAGTTCAGACACAAAGGAGCGGAGGCCCATAGTTCTGATATCACAGAAGGTCAGAACAGGAAGGAACATTTTCACGAAGAAACAAAAGCATTTTTCTCTCTAGATTATAAGTGCAGAACAGGAAATTTCTAAGTGCTCCATTTACATGTAGGCTCCAGATACACATTTTAATTTAATCTGGACCTTCCATATTAAAATTATAAATGTAGAAATTACACCATGAAATAAGTCTATTCAGTGGGAAAAAAAAGTGTCGCGGCTAGCAGCATGCACAAAGACCATGCATTGTCATCTCACCGAGCACACAAACAAAAATGGGATAAATAACTGCTCAAAAGCCCATGGCAAAGGACTGAGACAACCACAGGGGTACAGTGAGAGAAGGCGGGGTTGTTCACAGCTCTGAACAGCAAGGAGGGAGGGAAGGAAGGAAGGAGGGAGGAAAGGAGAGGGGGGAAGCAGGAAGAGAAGGAAGGAGAGAAAGGGAGGTGAGGGAAAGAGAAAGGAAGAGCAGGAGGAAAGGAAACAGAGAGGGAGTGGTCGCAGAGCCAGCGCAGCGTGGGAGGGGCCCCCATCAGATGACGTGGCAGCAGCTGGCAGGGCTGGCAGCGCACAGTAGGCCCTCCTTGGGGCCCCGCTGGATGTTAACTGAGATGGTTTTTTCACACAGAGGTAGTTGTAATACGCTGTTTTTCAAGTTCTTGCTCTTCACCCGGTCCAGCCCTTCCGCTGGGCCCACCATGCGGTCAGAGAACAATTTGATGCGGGGGCCGGCGGGGGCTGGGCCGGCTGAGCCCACGCACATCCTCCAGGCAGATTTCTCCTGAACTCTCACGCTGGAGAAGGCCCAGGCGCTCTGGGGATCAAGGATGCAGCCGGCGCTGCCGCGGATCTGCGCGCCCAGGCACAGGCTCATGAGCTTCAGGCTCTCCACCAGCTCCCCGGGGCCCGCGCACCTGCGTGTGGTGCCCGAGGGGCTGGTGCCGCCTCCCCCCGCGCTGCCCGAGGGACTGCCCCCACCCTGGCCGCCCCCGTTGGGGCTGGCCTTGTCCGGGCCGCGGCCGCCGTTGGCCGGCCTGCTCTGGCCGCTGCCGTCGCCCTGGTTGCCCGGCGGCCCTTCGCTGCTGTCCCGACGGTGCCACGAGTAGGTGAAGCCGCTGTCCTTGTCCAGCCGCCGGCGGCTCTCCGAGTCGTCGTCGCTGGTCTCGGAGCTGCTGCAGCTGGAGCCGCGGCCCTGGCTCTTTCGGCGGTGGTAGCGCTTGTGCACGGTGCCCGGGGACGCGATGTTCATCTTGAGCCTGCTCAGCTTGGGTGGCAGGTTCTCGTCCATGTCGAACTCGTCGTCCGACTCGCCCTCCTCGAAGATCTGGTTCAACACCGGAGCGCTCTTGCGGGATGTGAGGCGGTTGGTGACGGACGGCTTTCGCCGCAGGACCACCTGGGTGGAAAGGGACGTGGGCTTCTTGTCCTCTTCGTCCTCTTCCTCGTCTTCCTCCACGCGGAACAGACACTTGCGGCCACTGGTGGTGGGCTTGAGGCTCACGGAGGGCACCACGGACAGCGTGGGCCCCGCCAGCTCTGGGAGGTCATCCTTCTTGGCCACTGCGTCCCCCAGGGCTTTGTTCCTGTGGCCATTGAGGACGTTCTCAGCTGTGCGCGCCGGGGACTGAGGGACGGGGGCGTGGGACAGCGGAGATGCTGTGAGGTCGTCTTCAAGGTCCTGGGGGACGTCAATCTTCGTGGGCCACGACTGCCTGCATTAGAAATGAGACAGAGAGAAATGATTCAGTCAAGTGAAGACATCCACAGAGCACCAGAGACCACGAGAGCAGCTGACACTTCCATGGCCTGCATGGCCACAGATTCCTGGGATGGGTGGGCAGCCCCAGGGTGGGTGGGCTATGGGCAGGACATGAGGTTCAGGACGCAAGGTCTTGGGGTCACTCAGATCGACCCTTTCTCCTGCTGCCTTTGAAGTCATGGGGAAAGACAAGGATTCCACCCTGACCCAGAATACCCAGAACTGAGCTCATCCACGCAAACTGTCCTGCACACTCGCTGGACCGGCCTGCTGGCTTTGGTCGGTGCAGCTGATCAGTCCATCAGCTCTGGCTGAGAAGGACCAGGAGGCCCTTTCACATCTGGGCTGGGCCTTGCAGGGCCAGGGGCATGGAAGTGGGCAGGACACCTCCACTCGCCGTCCTCCCCCCTCCAAGCCCTTCCCAACACACACCCTCCCAATTGTGCATGCTACAAATGCCAAGGTCAGAGTTGGGTGGTAGCAGGCATTAGATTTCAGAGTAAGGAAGATTTGAGTTCAAATCCTGCCTCAGATGCTCACACTCACATGACCCAGACTAAGTTGCTTAACCTTTCTCAACCTCCTTTTCCTAATAATGGGACCAAGCCCTTGGGGTTATGGTGAAGGTCAAATCAAAGGAGAGAACAGGTAAATGCTTTGCAAACCTTAAATCTCTATGTAAGTGGAAATCATTGTTATCAGCAAAGACACAAGACTAAAGAATAAAGTTTATTTTGGAAGCAGGTCTCACTTTGAGATGGGCACCAACGGATGGAAGAAATCAACAAAGACAGAAAAGGCCTAAGACAAGCCCCAAGATGTGAGCCTCCACTCCAGCCTCCAGGACCACCCCCACGGGCCTCCATGGACCTGCCCGTCCCCGGCTCCAGGGGCCTCACCAGCATAAGTCCCACCCAACATCAGCAGCCTTGGCTCTCTGACACTCCAGGATTAACAGTCATTTCTATAGCATTGTTGACCTCACATTTAAAGCCACTAAATCAGAGAAAGAAATCCATTTCTATTTGCATGCGGAAAAGCCTGTTTTCCTAATTATTAAAAAACGTAGCAACCTGTGGTGGCTCAGTGTTAAAATGGGTTTTAAAATGGTGAGCATGGCAGGTGTCTGGATCTCCTTCCTCCTGGAACCCGGCTCTGCTGCCGTGCCGTTCCCTTCCTGGCAGATGCTGGACCCTGACTATCTCACACATGTCAAAACCGTGGGCACTTGTAGCAATAAAACGAGCAAATCTTTGCAAAAAGAGGCAAGTAGCAGGAGGCTCTGCCCTGGGGGGCTGCCTGAGCCCCCCTCCAGCCTGGCCACTACTTCTCTAGGAAGGCATCCCACCCCCAGACCACACAATGGGGGGGGGGTGTCAGAGAGAGGGCCTCACCTCCCTGGGCCCTGGCCCTAGTCATGACTATCAATGTCTGTTCAATCTAATTCTCCATCAATTAGGAGACCTAACTCAAAGACCTCATTAGACATGTAGGTGCACGCACGCACACACCCACGCACACACATACATGTGCATTCATACACTACACACATGCACACATGCTCACAATACATATATACAGTCAGACACACAGCACATACACGCATGTGCTTGCGCACATACACACGCACAGAGCAGGGGCAGCTAGGTGGCACAGTAGATAGAGCACCGGCCCTGAAGTCAGGAGGACCTGGGTTCAAATCTGGCCTCAGACCAAAACACTTGACACTTACTAGCTGTGTGACCCTGGGCAAGTCACTTAACCCCAATTGCCTAAAAAACAAAAAAAAACAAACAAAACAAAACCAAACAAAACAAAAAAAAACACACACAGAGCAGAAAGTAGTGTTTGAAGCACTCCATTCCGGCGTTATATGAAAGGTAACTTTTTAGTAATTATGAGGACGTCTTATTTTCAAATATCTTTCCTGCGCCTCTACTAAGGTCCTTCCTTCTGATGGTGCCCAGCTGGAATAAGGATGAATGGCCATGGGATGACCCTCACCAAGTCACTGCTGGTCTCCTCATCTGTAAAATGGGAATACTAGCACCCACCTAAAGTGCTCGACCACTTCTGGCTCCAGCCTGAAATTAGAAGAAGCTCATTATGGCCGGCCGGTAGAGTAATGAATGGCTTTGGGCACAGCAACAGACAAATAACATCTATGAAGCCATTTTAGGCCTGCAATGATGGAAAAATCCCCTACTCTAGTGAAATCATAGACCTTGTGACAGAAATAATTTTATATAATTATAAGAGGTAATTTCAAACCACAAATATGGTCCCTGACGAGGCTTAAGGAAAAGATGTGCAGATAAGTAGAAGCAGAGAAGCTGGAGAATATACGTGGAGAGCTGCCATGGGCTCCTGGTCTGACTCAGATGTGCCCCTCTCTAGCATCCTCTTCTCTGCTTCTTAATATGGAAGAGTTCTGGCCCTGGGAAGCTTCCCTATTTGCTCATAGGATCATCAGTCTAGGCACAGGGACCACTCTGACCCTAAAAAAAGAGAGAGAATATCAGAGGACAGAGTGTACGACTGCAGGGTCCTCCTGACCTCCAGAAGAGAAAGACGCCTCAAAGGATCTTTTCTAGAACATTGAAACACACACGTGCTGCTGTGAACTGTTTGGAGCTACTGTGGGCTCCCAAGAAAGAAGCAAAAGTCACTGCTATGACTGACTGAATAAAAACACTGTGATTCATTTATCTCTCTGGCCAGTGGGAAGAACTCCCAAGAATTTGTATTTAAATTGTTTTGCTGAAGAAGTCTCTGGTGCATCCAAATTCCACCCAAGCACCTTCAACACATGACTTGATTCAATGTTCTTTTCTGCCAGTGAAATGATGAGGCTCTGAATCAGACAAGTTTGACCCTGACCTCTCCAACAGATCCTCACGATGGACCACTACCTAACTCAGAAGAATGCTAAGTATTCTTCTGAATAGAGAAGGGAAATGGGCCTTAATTTTTCATTCCACAAAATTTCTCTGATGTATGAACAAGACCACTGAAATCACCTTTCACCCAAGCTAAGAATAACCTCTGACCTCAAGAGGCAGCAGAGGCTGCTTTAAACCCCCCTCAATACTTGCCCAAGAAATAAGCTACCTTGGTAGCTTAAGGCTCCAGAACATTCATTTTTTCGTGTCCAACACAGACCTCTAACCCCTCCTGCCTCCTGCCTTCCCTATTACTGTAGAGAGCACCATCTGCCCAGCCCCACAGGCTCACAACCTAGGGCTCATCCTGGATTCCTCCCTCTCTCTTACACCCCTACCCCACATTCAGGCTGTTGCCAAGGCCTGTCAATTTCACCTCTGCAGCACCTCTGGTCAGTTTCACCTCTGCAGCACCTCTGGTCAGTTTCACCTCTGCAGCATCTCTGCTCAGTTTCACCTCTGCAGCATCTCTCCAACACTCCCCCTTCTCTCCTCTGACATAGTCCCCACTCTGGTGCAGGCCCTTATCACCTCACATCTGGATTATTGCAATAATCTGCAGGTGGGTCTACCTGCCTAAAGTCTCTCCCCACTCTAGCCAATAAAGTGATTTCCCTATCTTCCTTGAAGTCACAACTAAAATCCCACCTTCTACAGGAAGCCTTCCCTAACCCCTCTTAATTCCAGTGCCTTCCCTCTCCTAATTATTTCCTATTTATCCAGCATATAGCCTGCTTTGTATATATTTGTTTGCATGTTGTCTCCCTCATTAGATTGTGAGTTCCTCAGTACCCAGCACATAGTAGGTGCTTAATAAATGCTGAAAGATTGGATAGATTCCAATACCAACCATTAGAGATAAGTTGTTTCTTCCTCACTTTCATATCTGGATCACAATCCAGAAGAGTATGTTCTTAATATGTTGTTTTTCATTCACTTAGTACATGCCCTATAGTTATAACCTAACAAACTACACATTTCCACAGCCCATAGAGCCTTAATTTTTTTCCATTAAAAAAAAAATAATCTGAACTAAACAAATGAGCACTTAATTTACATTGTGGAACATAAGAAATGAAAAACTGGAAATGCAGGAAACTGGAAATGTGGGTTATTTAAAGCTTGATTTTCTTTTAAAGTATATATATATATAAATATATTAACATCCAACATCTAACTTTCAAAGCTGTCTTGTTTGTGTGGCTTCTCACTGAGGGAGAAAGGGAACTATCCCAGCTTCCCCCTCCTTATACCACCCCGACCCCCAAAGCCTTGATAAAATACGAAGCCAGAAAGTGAGGACTTTAACTAATGAATCTCATTGAGCAGAGATGGAAATAAGGCCTGCATGGACCCAAGGCAGGGTCTGGAAAATGCTCCCCCTGGAATCTTGAAGCTTCCACAGTACTACACATAACTTGACTAATCACAAGATAAATACCCATATGCCATGGAAAGCAGGATTTGGGGGCATTAAAAGTATGTACGTGTGTAAAAAGTAATGCCTGAAAAAGGCCCTCTGCTCCGAGGCAGTGCCTCAGACCCTCTTCTGCTGGCCTCCCTGCTGTCCTGGCCACCTCCTCGGGGGCTCTGCTACTGAGCCCTTGGACTTACAAAGTATGTGGAAAATGTAGCCAGTGTTCACAGCCTCCCAGAAAGAAAAGGAACCGTGCTCCCCATGTTCCCTGACTGGCTGAGGAAACTATGACAGAGTCACTTTCCTGGATCACAGGGCTGGACAGAAGAAAAGGCAGGAACGGTCAGAGAAAGCAGACACCCCCCCCCCCCCCCCCCCAGTGAGAGGTTACCTCCCATATGGGAGGGGCCTTTGCCCATAGGCTGTGGTGACCAAGACACTGCAGCAAAAATTGAGGGAAAGGTCCATGGAAATGAAGGTGAATGCAAACTTGATTCCTGAACTGCAAATCTTTTCAAATCAGAGTCTTTCACAACAGAGACAACTGAGGACTCAGAGTCATAAAAACCAGATTCAAACCTGGCCCCGGACACCTGAATAACTGTGACCTCGGCAAGCTGCTTCACCTCTATCTGCCTCAATTTCCTCATCTATAAAATGGCGATGATAAAAACACCCCCTTCATGGGGATCATGGATGGAAAGTGCTTAGCTCAGCACTACTATGCCTACGATCATTCCCAATTTCCACACAGGATGCTGGGCCTCTCTGGGAGCTGGGGTCGGGGTGAGGGGCATCAAGTGCTTTAGGGAGGCCTCAGTGGGCCCCCTGACCCCTGCACAGCAGCCCCAGAAGGGGCCCCCGGGGTCTCGTCAGGAGGTCTGCCCTCCTCCAGCCCACGGACACCTCTCCTGACCAGCCCCTCCCTTCCCACCCCATTACCTGAACTGGGCTTTGATGTTACTGGGACTGGCCGACCGCGTCTGTATCTCCTTCTCCTGCTTCTCCCTGAGGATCCTCTCAGCAAGCAGGAAGTAGGTGGCCGTGATGTGATTGTACTTGTTGGTCTCAAGGGCCCTACAAAGAGAAGGCCCAGGGTCAGCCTGGGCCCTTCTGAAGGGGAGATGGAGGAGCTGGAGGGCCCCGGGGGCAGGAAGCCTGCTGCCCAGGAAGAGGGAGGGCTACGAGCACAGGGGGCACCAGCCCCCAGACCACAATGCGGGGCCTTTCTGCCTGGGGTGCAGCAACGTGAATGCGTGCGAAATCACAACTGCCGCAAAGGAAAACAGACTCTGTGGTCCCAAAAAGCTGCTCGTGACCTGTTTCACCAGGGACAGACACGGCCCTCTGAGGAGGGTCAACGTGGGTGTTTATCAAAGACACAGCTTGAACCAAGCTGTCCTCCAGCGCCCCTGTCCCAGAACCAGCACAACCACCATCTCACCTCTTTGGAGATCTTTCTTCCTGCACCCCCACCCACAAGAGGAATCAGAAATCCTCAGCCAAATTTCTAACTGTGATCAAAATGAGTCACAGCAGATTTAAATGGTCTGAAACATGATAATTAGTGAACATGGCTATACTGTGAACGTGTACAATGAAGTAAGAAAGAAAATTATCTAGTATTGTTTTCTATGAAGGAAAACTATTGTATTATCCAAAAATATGAGCAGATTCAGATGGACAAGAGCAGCTCAAAACCACGATCCGTCCAAAGCAATGCAAAGACCTCCATTCTCTCAGCAGCCTCAAGAGCCAACGCCGCCCCGCCCCCATCTCACTTACTCCACGATGCTCTCTCGGTCGGCTATGTCACCAAGAACCATGCGCTGAATGATGCTGTTGTGCTCCTCCTCAGAAAGGTTTTTGTATGAAACCAGGGGGATGTTGTACTTGGTGGCTGGAGACGGGTCGACACCTTGGAGCCAGGCGTGTGTCTCGATCTCCTCCAAGGAAGCTCGTCGTTTCGGGTCCCTCTGCAGCATCCGAGTGATCAGGCTGGAAAAGGAGAGGTTGGCTTAGACCAGACGCCGGGGGGGGGGGGGGGGGGGGCCGGGGGGGGGGGGGGGGGGGGGGCTAGTCTATCAATTCTGCCCCGTCCCCAACACGGAGCAAGGGCCAGTGAGTGGAGGCAGAAATGGAAAGCCAGAACTTATCTGGCACACCCAAACACACCCACACAACAGTCTCTGAAAACCAGCAATTAACTCAACATATCAAAATAATACTAGACTTTGTTTTTTTCACAAATCCTTTCTGGCCACAGCAGCTCCACTGTGGCTCATTAAACCTGGTCAGGGCCATCAGCTGAGGAGGAAGGACGCATGTGGTACTTGGGCAGCTCCCATTTTAATTTTTAGTTTTGCTTCAGAATCAAGCACAAAGCTAAATTCGTGCGCTGCGCCAGTGATCTGAGATTTCATACACCCCCTCCTCCATGTCTCCACACGAGGGGGCTCGGAGTCTGTCCCCGCACCCGGGGTCCGAGCCTCCTGATGGTCCAATCCTGGCTGAGCCATGAGCAGGACCCACAATAAAGCTTTCTAGACCAGAAAACATTCACAAAGAATGACCCAAAAAGCAGCATTCCATGATTTTATACCAATAGAAATCCGTCATGAGACTCTCTAAAGTGTGGTCAATACCCAGCCTGCAATGCCCGATGGACAAATGGACACAGGCAGGCTGTGCTGGACAGACAGTGGAAGGAAAGCAGAGATGTGGGAGAGGCTTCTCCACGCTGGCTCAGCCCAGAAGCAGCACTCATGATGGCAGGCCCCAGGTTACCCACAATGGCCACACTAGAGTTATTTAAACACAGGTTCCCAAAGTGGGTGATACCGCCCCTTGGGGGGCACTGGAATGTGGGTGGAGGGGGAGAATAGCCTCGGGTGCAACTGGGGGGCGTTGAATAAAAATAAGAGGGTGATGGAAGCATAAGGAAAGAAGACGATAAGACCATTTTGAAAAATCATTTGTACGTGTTTTATCTGTTGTGTAACAGTAAAAGTCGTAGTGATTGCATTATTTTCCAAATAAACACACAAAATGCAAGCTATAACCCATCAGTGGTCAAGTCTGCCAACAGGTCTTAACAAGTAAGTGTTGGCAGGCAAGCCTGTCTCATATTGTCGGGAAGTCCAGCGTGTATTGACAGGAATATGTGTATGTAATGACTTGTTTACAATATGATACTATATGGTTACATGATGCAAAATTGCATCATCAAAATTTCAATGCAGGAAAAAACCCACAAATTATTAAAATTAAGATGCATCATTTAAAAAATGTATTTTTTTGAAATGACACAAAGTTAAAAAAAACAGGAAGGGGTTAAAGAAAGTAGATTTCCAGAGGGGAGCTGAGTAAAATTTTTTTTTAAAAGGGGGCAGTTGGTCAAACAAGTTTGGGAACCTCTGACTTTGAGCCTGACTAGAGCACGCAGAGCTCAGGCAGGGGGAAGAAAGCAGGGCTTAAAGAACGAGACAGAGCATAACAACTAGAGAAGTGGAGACAACTCTGAACAGCCGGAAAACTCCTTAAACCAGGACTAATTTGAAGGTCCAATGCACAGCCTGCTTTCCCTTTAAGGAATTGTAGATTGTGGGCTCTCTGAAGGCAGGGACTGTCGTTGACCTCCTTTTGTATCCCCTGGGCTCAGCACAGTGCCTGGGACAGAGAAGGGGCTTAATAAAGGTTAACTGAATTGAATTATTTTGTTTAGTTGGGGGCGGAGTAGGGAGTTAATTAGTAGTTTGTTGGGAATGTGTATGACATGTCAAAACAAACTATCAGTTTAAAAAATCACATCATTCAACTCCCCTGGTTTTACAGATGAGAAAACTGAGGCTTATGAGGTTCAGTGACTTGTCTTTGGTCACACAGGTAGGAAGTAGCACAGTCATGATTAAAACCAAAATTTCAAATCTGATGTTAACTGAACTCCTTGACTTCCAAGAGCACAGTTTTATATGACTCTATTTCCAGCCCCCCACCCCCAATGTACAAGATTTTAAATTCCAAAATGCCCGTTGAAATGAACTTTTACAACACAACCCATGTTTACATTGGGGGTTCCCTGGCATCCCCAATAGGATTCCTCAAGTCACTGAAGGAAAAGAGAATAAAACGATGATCTGGCAACAAACAATCCAAACCACAGAAGTCATCCCGCCCTGGGACCACCAAACAAAAGGTTAACTGGCCCCCGCCTAGCAGACGCCTTCCGTGGACAGCAGGGGAAGGTCTGATGGCCTGTGTGCGGCATGACTGTCATTGAATGTCATAAAGCAACAAAGATGGATGAGCAGGCGGAAGGTGAAGCAATCTGGAACGACCCTGATGACATGATGCAGGAGGGACGAAGGAGGCACAGGAGGGACTGAAGGGTCATGACCTTTCATGCACTGGAATTAATGCCTTTGGATAGAAAGAGTGAAAAAGCAAGGCCTATTCGGTGTGATCATGTCGAATATTTAGTTGGTGACAACCCGTTTAAATTTCCAAATGAGGCACTAGGTTCTGCAAGCCCCAAAATGAAGGCTTTGATGAGCCATCCAAGGAAAGAAAACTGCCCTGTGGGTTTCCCTGGAATGGCTGGGCTACTCCACTGAGCACCCAGGGCAAAGCTAAGTTTAAGACCTGAATGTAAAACGAAACAGTCACTGCTGGCAGCGGCCAGGGCCACACAGAGGGCTCCATCTCCCAACCGCCAACACCGGCCCAGGGTCCTGCCCAGGAACCCTGGACAGCGCGGACGAGGGCTGCACCAGGCGGCCAGATTTCTGGCCTACTCATCAGTTCCTTTTGTGGTACTTACTCTTTACACTCTTTGGATACGTGTGAAGGTACTGTGTATTTGCAGTCCATGATCATCGTCAAAGTTTCGCTGTCATTTGCTTCTTGAAAGGGAGGCTGCCCACACACCAACATGAAAAGAATGACTCCCAGACTCCATATATCTGGAAATAACAGAGTGTTATTAAGTGGGGTAAACAGGAGAAAGCAATTGATTTTGGGAACTTTTTAAAAGAAATAGAAAACAGTTAACATTACTTTTCAAATATATTAATCAACTTCAAAAATTAGGATTAATTAAATTAATTAAAATTTAGTAACAAATGCTAAGAACAAATAAAAAACACATCATGATATAGCCAGGTCTGGGGCAGTGAGAATAAAGGATCTCCACAAACAGTGGAATTACTTAAATTCACATGGCATATGTCCATGGGGATGGACCGAATCACCATATTTTACACAATTATAACTTGAATAGTGCGAATCTGAATCCAGGTGACCCCTTCAGGGACTCACCAGCAGACAAGTCCCACTAACCCTCCCCTCTCTCAGCTTGGCCCTGTGTATCCAGGGGCCTCCATGCCCATCCCAAGGCCACTTAGTACCCTCTCTCATCTCAATCAACCAATTGTTTACAAAGTACCTACCAGGTGCCAAGCCCCATAGCCTTGCATGGGGGCCTTGCATGTCCCCTCAAGGAGCTTCTTCCATCACCCAGGAAGAAGTAACAGGTGCGCATGAGGGGGTGGCAGTGGGGGAGGGGACACCCTTCAGGACCTCGTTAAAGGCAACTGGGGATTTTCAAAGGCAAATGTGAGAAAGGAGGGCATCACAGGCACGAGGGCCAGCCTGTGCAAGAGCACAGAGATGGGGAGATCGCTGGAAAGGGCAAGAAAGAAGGCCAGAAGGTTCAGCTGGAGCTGTGCCACCAAGGACATCAGGGGTCACACAGAGGGATCTGTATTTTACACCACAAATAACTGAAAGCCACTGAGCTTCTCGAGCTGGGAAGTGGTCAGTCTCATCCTTTCTGGCCTCTGGAAGCTGCACGTGTGAGGAGAACCAGAGCTGAGGCAAGAAATGACAATAGGGATGGAAGTGAGAGGACCGGCTCAGGCTTGGGGAATGGAGGTGAGAAAGAGGGAGGTGCCGAGGCTCTAAGGCCACCAGCCTGGGGCCTGCTACAGAAGCACAGAGATGATGGAGGCCGCCGGACAAGGAGTATTTCACCAAGCTCAGGGCAATGCCATCAGTGTGGGGAGCTCCCACTGTAGAACGCCCCCCCACGGAGGCAGAGCGACTGCTCTGGGGCAGCCCGGGCAAAAGGGCTCGCGAGGCCCATCTTCCTCCCACCACGGCCAGACCTCTCAAGGCAACTTTCACAATGAGCCCGTAAGAGAGGTTTGTTTAATAAAGGCATGAACACTGCTGAAGTCTGCACGTTTTCCATACAATTTAGGACCCCTGCATTAGCAGGATGAGATCTGTATGTGTCACTGCTCACCCTCAATCAGACTGCGAGATCACAGACTCTCCAGCCAGATCTCCATTTCTCCAAGGCCACACAAGACAGGAAGAAGCAGAGCCAGGATTTGATTTCAGGTCCCTGGACGCCAAACCTCTAGTGCACTTTCCTCCAGACCACGACGCTACGACAAGCTCCCTGAGCATGGGGCCTCAGCTTACTTCTCCTTCTGTGACCCACAGTACCCGGCAAAGTGCCAAGCACACAGGCGTTCATCACAAAGAGGCAGCCCGTCCTCCTGAGGGATGCTGAGGACATGGTCACTTCAGTACGGCTGGCGGCGATCGCGTGTCTGGCATCCATTCGGTGAGCCCCTGGGTGCCGGGGGCCACCAGGCTGCCTACGGAGGGGCCAACCGGGCCAGGGGAGAAACAGAGCACATCAAAGCTTCTATGACAAGTAGCCGTGGGGTCAGGCCTATGAGTGGCCACCCCAATAACTAGCCCCCCAAAAAGGGAGAGGGATAGACTTACAGACAAGAAAAAAGAAAGAAAAAAGGCAAAAAAAGAGTTACAGAGGGAAGGGTGATGAACTTTGGCTCCAGAGGATAAGGAACTTCATAGCATTTGGGAGGAAACTTCCCTGCCTTCACAAGTCCGTAGGAGGGCCACACATCCCCAGCTAGGCTTGGAGGCTGACCTGGAGCTAGGCAGCCAAAGAAGGGAGACGGGAGAGTGACCTCAGGAAGGCGAGTCCAAGAACAAAACCCAGGATGGCCAAACAGAAGTGATCCCGGTGAGAGCAGGGAGACCAAGGGAGGGAGGGCCATCCTGGCAGGACACCATCCTTTTTGGGCCTCATTCCTGCCAAATCCACACCCGCTGGAGCCTGCCTGGAGCAGAGCATTTCAGCAGATGGTCTCAGAGCTAGGACAGGAGCACAGCAAGCCAGCAGGACAGGCAGGAAAGGCGTCTTGGTGCGACTGAGGCACCAAGGGTCTCAATGACTTGACTAGTCCTCCTGTCATCGGGCGGCCAGAGGGCTTTCAGAACTGCTGAGATTCCTATGCAGGTGGAGGAGTGGGTGTGAAAGGGAGGTTTTATCTCATCATTTATTTCTCAAAAGTATCACATGAACTGTTTTGTTAACAACTCCACAAGAGGAAATCTCCAGCAGGCTCTGAACCCAGGGCTGGGTAGGTGTGATCCGCCAATAAACCACGAGGTGATTCCGGCAGGGACCATGAAGGGAGGGAGGGGCTGCTCTCTCAGCTACAGGGGCAGCAACTACAGCAGAGCCCCCCCCACCCGGGCCTCCCCTGGGCACAATTCTCTCCATTGTGATGCAAGCCCTAGCTCTGTGTAATCTCCCCCTTACTCCTGTCTCTTCTTCCCTCCCTACCTCTCTCTCTCTCTCTCTTCCTCCTCTTTCCTCCCTTTCTCTTTCTCCT